AGTTTACGTATTTCTGTATAGCAGTATATTCTTGGGTGCGTTAATAGTCTAAAACTTGGTCAATTATCTGCTTTACAGAACAGTCTAAAGACTCGAAACCCATCTAGTGTTACAGTTTGCATTAAATTTCATGTCTAGAGTCACAGTTTGCCTTAAATTCCTTGTTATAAACACTTGATGACCCATCTAGAGTATCTCCGAAACTATTCGAGTCCGACCCTTATATATATATATGAAATGACTCGGGAAGACATCCCCAACAACATATTTAAAAATGAAGCAAATCGGAGAGGAGGCCCCTTTTATGCATAATTACCTATTATTTTTATGCGAAATATTACCAGGCAAGCCTTTTTATCAATGCAAATAACTATTACGGACTTTCTCATCCGATCTTTTCAGAGCATTAGTCCTGGCCTTGTCAACACAAATTTATCTGCAGGGCACTCTGAGGAGATAAAAAAAGACTTTTACGAGAAAGTACCGACTATTCAACCGAAAGACGTAGCGGATGCGCTCATTTATGCTCTTGGAACGCGACCGGAAGTTCAGGTTCAAACGATCATTTAACGTACTTTCTCCCTGATAAATATAGGAAAATTGTTTTACGCGTTACTTAATTGCAGATTACGGAGCTTACTATCCAGCATACCTGGGAGCTTCCATGAAGAATATCTTCGGTAAGATGCCCGTCTTTTAAAGCGTCAACAACTTTACAAGAAACAACTTTATGCTAATAATAAAGAAACTCGAAGCCTGTAAAGTCTAAGTTTCCCTCACTTTTTCATGTTGCTTTACATTCTTTAAATGAATATAAAATTTTTTACGCCCAAATTGTTCTCCTTTTTTCTATCGTAACACTCGCGTCTACGTTGCACTTAACAATTTCGCTAATAATATTCTTTCTTAATGTACGTCCATTCATATCTCAAACGCGAAGACAAGCAATCCAATAAAATCTGCGACAACAATTTTGCACGCACCTATCTTTGTTTTCTAAAAATAGATATGATATTGAAGATACTTTTCGTGTATTTTACCACGCAAGCACGCACACTCGAAATTTATGACCAATATGTTATCGGGCGAGTACTATAGCTGTCGGATATCGCTATGTTTATCTCGCGCGATGCCTTGTACTTGTACACGTCGCTCTAAAAAGATATACTCGACATTCAGATTTGTGACAAATTCCGCTTATCGCGAGGCAACGTTATCGGCAATACGTTCCCGTGTAATCGTTGCATTCAAATTTCGACGAAGTGGCTGCTACGCGCACCCTGCAGTGGCTACATCCTGCTTGGCGCATGACAAATACAGCGGTGTCATTTGGCATTTATATGTGAACGATCGAAATGCGCGTTTCCTACACACAAACGCGCGTCTGCCGTATCTATCGTCCGCGCATCCGTGTGCGTGCTCCTAAACGTGAACTTCCGATAATAGGCGGCTCACACTGTACCAAGCTCGACTGTCAACCAGGGAGGCATTCGAGTGCGAGCGATAGTTAAGGTGTCAAACAAGTTCCGTCGTGCTTCGAGCAGTTGGAGGGAATCGCGCGTCGTGTTATCAGGAGAATCGATTTTCCCGGCGTGCATCGGATGTCGGGTCCTGTCAAAATCTAAGTGTACGCCTCGTATTCTAGCACTGTGATTAGATCTCCGCGTTTCTCGCGGTGTACAGCGCGAGATACTGCATTCGATTCATCGCTCACTTTGAAGGCTGCTTGTGATGCAGTTCAATCAGGATTTGTCTCCTTTCATGGAGTTACAATACAATTATAACGTTACGAGATTACAATCATTAAAATTACACATCAATGATGACACGTGGCGAGTGTGGGCGCAGATCAATGTGCGCTGCTTAATAACCAAATGAACGAAAAGATCAGAGTTTAAATCCGCGGACACCGCTGGTTTTTTTTCGGAATCTCCCGAAGGGAAGTGGCAACCACCGAGAGTATCTCGCCACACGTACCTCTTTAGGGGTATAGCCCTCCAGATGGGAGGTTTCCTTCGGCAAGGTTTAGCAGCCTACCGAAGATAAAGTAAAACCAAAATGCTCAAAGTACCAGAGCGAACTGGAACAGGCTTTTAACATGCACTGATAAAAATTAATGCGAATTTACAAAGGAATTTTACTTATTTCTTGGTAAATTTGCCTAAATTTTCATGAGTTTTTACATAAAATTTGTATTTTTTCCCTTTGGTTTCATTAAACATACAGGAATATTATGAAAAATTAATTGAATCTGGTATTTTTAATCACATAATTTGTAAATTAGCTTCCGGTTCATCCATAACATTTCATAT